GGCATCTGAATGCACTATGACGTTCAACTGGTCAGGAGGTGAGAGTTGCCGAAGATTACGGTAAACTTCAGTTACAGATCTCCATTACGAATATCTAAAGTATGAATAAAGATCACAGCTTGCTATGACGTGTACTTCATGCCAGAATTCAGAATTAGCAATGTCCTTAGCTCTTAATTGTATGTCTAAATGCTTATGTAGACAAAGACCCAAATGTATATAGGCATGACCATATTATATTCTACGCAAATATCACCACATTTAAAAACAAAGCTAGATTGAGTCTTTGAAGGGCATTAAGAACTGATACACACAAGGAAAAATATTTATGGATGTCAACGGAGGAACACTGCGTTTCGGAATATATACTTTCTCCTTCATCAGGTGCATATTATTAAATGCTATGAGGCAGAGAACATATATTTGTACCTGTAAGAACAACAAAAGTAAAAAGATAGCAAAGAAGGGAACGCAACAAGGGAAGCCAACAGATAACTGGCATGGCGCTGATTACCCCGCCTCCCGTTTGCCCATTGTCCATTTCCCATTACCAATCATTCATAAGTTAAGTTTAGGCTTTCATTTTTCCATTGATAATCAACCATCAACGTCTATGATCTCCACCCTAAAAATATGTAGTTTACTGAGAAGGTGGTATCCAAATATAATGTGTGTTACTGTTGACCACTTTCTTAAAGGCATTGTTGGTTCAAAGCTTTCGGTCATAGAAGCCGTGCCATTTTTCTCTTGTCAGAGGAGTACAGAAAGTATACGTCATCTGGACTAACATTTTTGGTTCGGTGGCTGGGTTAGATCGATTGGGTGCCCCACTCACAGTGTGGGTTCAAATCCCGGACGGGGCTCAACCTAAGAAAGTACGAGAATCTGTACTTTACTCAGAAAGTGTTATCCCAATTATAACATTTGTTGTCAAGAAAACACAATAAATGTATATTCGGCTTTGAATGGGTAATGATATCACAGACATATACGGATATTGATGATGACTTGGAGGAGCTTCGTAACGCACGTCTTCTCAATTCAGGGATTGGTAAATCCAAATATGTGTGTGCGCGTGCGTGCGTGCGTGCGTGCGTGCGTGCGTGCGTGCGTGCGTAAATGTGGGCCTGTTGGATGTTACATAAAACATTCATCTTGAGCGGGATGGTAGTTCGAGTTGGATTAGCATGTTAACTATATGATCTTCTTTAGGCAGAGAATGCCGCGCATGAATGTATTGATGGAATTCCTAGGTACATGGGGCCTTTTCGTCCCCAGGAATACCCACAGTGGAGACTTCAATGGGGATAGGGTGTACACAATGTGCTACCTGGTAGATTGTGTGTCATCAGACCGGACAACGTTGGTCTTTGACTGATTGTGGCGTAAAACACACTTATTCATTTACTTATATCGGAAATTGAATGTTCATCTTAATTGTTATTGTTGAACATGTAATATATTTTTAAAGAAATAAAACAGTGACATAATAACTACAACTTTATGTGAGCGCGAGTAGCTTTTTTGGAATGAGATGAATAAGTCTTATAAAGTTGTAAGCTTCTTCACAACCGTGTAACTATGAATTGACTTTATTGGGTAATCAAAAAAGAGAAAGGACCTAAAATAGCCAAATTTCATACGATTTCACTTGTCCACCATCTTGGATGCAAGGCGAAAACATTTCAGCGCGTTTGAAGCCACTGAGAATGCCCCCTGCAGAGTTGGACGAACATTCTGCGGTGGCGCGGCTGAGTTGACCAGAGGCTATCAGCAGTATTTCCTGTCCAGGTTATTTAGGTCAATTGTTTGTTTGTGTGTGTGTGTGTGTGTGTGTGTGTGTGTGTGTGTGTGTGCGTGTGTGCGTGTTTGCGTGCGTGCGTGTGGGGGGTGGGGGCGGGTGAGATTAGGGTGATAGATGATAGATTTAGCAACAAGTAAGGTCATCTTGAGTGGGAGGGTATTCGCAGATGGATTAGCATATGAACTATGATTCTCTTTAGGCAGAAAATGAGGATCCACGATGTTCGACCTGGTAGAAGTGTGTTATCAAACCTCACAGCATTGGTTTTTTGACTGACTGTAGCGTCAAAACAAACTCATTCATTTACTTGAACTGAATGTTCATCTTAATTGTTATGGATAGTCACGGAGCCATGATCCAGAGAACAGGGTGTCATTAGATAGAAATAAACTAAGTAATAATAGGATTACAAGAAAAACGGGGTTTTACACACAAGCCAATAAACTTCGCTCATTAACACCAGGGTAAGTCAGTACAAGATTGAAAACTGCCCCATAATTATGTATGACATGCTTGTCGGGTATTGCTACATATATATATGTGAAAACAAAGTTATTAAAATGAAGAGCAAAATTGATGAAAGTTAACAATAAACGTGTATACGTGTTATATCGTCACTGCAAAAATAATGATTGTTTGTCTTTAGTATTAACATTCAAATACGTTATATCTGTATTAGCGATATTGTCTTTGTTCCACCGGTGAGTCAGCGTTAGCCGTACTATCTCGTAGTATAATTGAATTTCTGAAGACATCATGATACAGTTTTTACGATGCATCACGTCTGCACTAGCGCTTGATAACAGCCTTGTGTTTGGGCGTTTCAGTGGTTTAAATCGCTGCTCTTGATATTGTTGATTAAACTTTGATACTATGAACAATATAATGTTATGTGAGAGGTTGACTTTAGAACGGTAACATACTAATAGTATATAGGATGACATAAACAGAACAATGAGAAGTTCGTCCAGATTAGTGTATGGCAACATTTAATAATTAAAATAATTACATTCAACATCTCCCCTTTTAAGTCCATTTTCCTGACTTAAAAGTAAATGCAAGAACAATCGGCCGGAATACAATGTATAGTTCTTGTCCACTTCCATATGACTATATAGCATACAATAAGCTATCGGGTCCCGTTTAGATCGGTTTGGGTGGCAGCCTAGATAGCCATAGAATAGTTTCATCTTGGAATCTCCCATATCACTGGGAATCCTCTTCAATTTAAATGGAGTTACTCGTTACGATTCCGAACCTTCACGTGACTGTGTTTATGAACCATTGTCAAATAGTGGTGACATTAAATCTAGGAAACAATACGCGAGGTCGCGCATGCACAGAACGGAAAATTTGGTCAAGGCATTAAGTAATCCGCATGCGCAGAACGATTGATTTCAGTACTTCCGCTAAGCGCTTCGAGTGCAGCGTCAAACGCGGGCCTGTAATCTAACACGCGGGGACTGACCAATGAAATCTGAGAAGTAGAAATACCGGTAGACGCCGTTGCTTGATTGACAATGTCAATCAAGAAAGGGAGGAGCTTAACGCTATCGTTCTCTCCCAGTAAATTCCGATGTCAAATAACGACGTTATTTGGACGGAAAAACGATGGTTTGAAAACGTCCAAATAACGTCGTTTTTCCGTCCAATGACCATATACGGAAAAAAACGACGTTTTCGTGTTTGCAGTGGTAGCTCTGGCAACATGGGGACGAGCGTTGTCCTGCTGGAAAATGTGTTGTTGATTTTGTGCAAAAAATGGAACAACGTGGGGTCTGATCACTTGGTCGATATACCGCTGAGCAGTGACGCCGTGTCCCCGACCTTGACCAACATTCAAAAAGCACATGGGTCCAAGTCTCGCATTAAGTCCAATGCCTGCCCATATCATGACGCTAGGTCCGCCCCATGGATCCCTATCCACAACGTTTCTGTCAGCGAAACGATCACCTCGACGCCGCCAAATTCTGACTCTTCCGTCTGCATGGGAGACACAAAAGCGACTTTTATCAGAGACCCTGTGCCCACTGAAGTCGTGCTTGTCGATGCCGTGGTTGGAGAACAGGACGGCGTGCTGGTTGGCGACATCTGAGGTTGTTGGAACGGAGACGTCGGATCACAGTGTCCAGGCTAATGTTTCGATTTTGTGTTCCTATGGTCTGTCGAGCACTTTCACTTGCAGTTAGAAACGGATGTCGCTGGTGTTGACGGGTAATCTGCCGATCTTGTCGAGGTGTGGTGACCCTAGGACGACCGCTCCAAAGAAGGTCATCTGTGGTCTGTGTAGCATTGTATCGATGCAGGAGACGGTAAATTGTGGTTATGTTAATGTTAATGACGGGCAACATACTGGACAGACTCCCCAGCTTCCAAACGTCCGATAGCCTGGTTTCTCTGAATTTGAGTTAGGCGTGGCATTGTTGACCAAGGAGTGGTAGGTCCAAGAATCGGCCAGTTTTATACCCACTACAGCTCGTGACAGTTCGAGCATTTTCGATTTCGCGAGAAATTGGTGCATGATACCCACATATTCATTGAAATGGTGCGTTTTGGCGATTCGTTTTTTATGTTGAGTTTTTACTCGGCTTCAAAATGCAACCAAAAATATTGATAACATCAGGCTTCACTACATACTCGTATCAATTTATGGTTCCGTGTTTGTTACCTATTTGCTTTAAACCACTTGCGTTTCTTTTGCGTGTGAGTATATTACAAGAGAATGTTTAGGTGATGGACATTAGCTGTTTTCAGATTTCCGGATGTTTTTGAGCTTTTGATGCCTGCAAATTTATTTTGGCATGCGTAAACATTAGGATTACGTTACCTTTGAGCGCATATCGAATACTCAATAACACCTATAAATCTGAAAACAGGTACGAGGTACGGTAAAAAATTCCTAAGCCTAACAAACAACACTAACAATTCTTAATTTAGCACCGCTAGTACATATACACATACACAAGTCCTCAGCAACCCATGCTTGCCGTAAAAGGCGACTAACGGGATCGGGTGGTCAGACTCGCTGACTTGGTTGATTCATGTCATCGATCCCAATTCCAGGGATCCATACTCATGATATTTATCACTGGATGGTCTGGTCCAGATTCGAGTATTTATAGGCCGCCGTCATATAGCTGGAATATTGCTGGGTACGGCGTTAAAAAACAAACCAATAATCTCATTAAATACTCGCCTTTTAGGGTTTATAGGATTCCCCTTATCCTTGCCATGTGATTGTGCATAATACCGTCCAGTCTTAATCGAATTTCGTTCGACTCGCAGACCAAATGATTGCATTCTGGAAAAGAAATATAACTATGATCATATATTTACCAGCGGAAAAAGAAAGTGTGTTTACTATAAAGTGTTATGTAATAGAAAATAGTAACTGTTTTTACATAATATTTGGGGGGCACGGATGGCCCAGTCGTCTAAGGCGCCGCGATTCGCTGTGCAGAGTTGCGTCCCTTGGACACGCCAGAAACCTCTGGTTAAGGGTTCGAATCCCGGTTCGCCCCAATTATGTTTCTAGGTTTGTCAGCACCATACCCGTGCCCCTTGGTTTCACCGAAGTGGTAAACGTCTGAGACCTGCATCACTTCGGGCTTTCCTCCCACATTAAGCTGTCACGCCGTGATATAACTGGAATACTGTTAAAAGCGGCGTTAAACCCAACTCACTCACTACATAATATTTGGTCGTTTGTCTTATCAATGCCTTACAATAACAAATTCATTGACGAAAACCCATACCTGGAAACAGAGCAACACGCTTAAAAAGAGGAGCTATTTTACCACTCATTATAATGCTGCAACCTGACGTTCCCTGCCTTCATTTGCACAAAGCGTAGTACATGATCTCGAACGATGTTCGACCCGGTAGCGAACACCGTACCATTCAAGTTGTCATTAACAATGATGAGTTGCGTTCTTCCTTGAGTTGTGATGCCACCTCATAGGTATTGCATTAAGGCCTTCCCACACTAAACCAACGCGTTTGCAGCAAAAAAATCGCTCTGGTTGTTTTTAGATAATCGACCTAAATTATAACGCAGCACAGCGACAGCGCGACGGTAGTAATTTCTTTTAATCGCGCAAAAAAGCGATTTTTACTGCTTGCTGCCCGGACGCTTTGGGAATAATTATTTTGTGTTAATTCTTTTACAATTTCACATTAAATCATATCGGTAAGATAAATTTGTTGCAGCAGGATCATTTGGGGTACATGGGGTTCATTGCGTCCCTCGTCCCTCTGGGTACTGGTATAAAACCTAACGCGGGACGCATAACAACCCATGTACCCTTTGTGATCCTGATACAACTTGTAGTGTCCTTTAACATAGACAGACTTTCCCACAAACAGCCCTGAGATTTCACTGTAACCAGAATTGCACGAAGTTATATATACATTGCCTCTATTGTAAGACTTGGAACGGTATTTCACGTCATGACACCGCATGTCAGCTTAATGAGAGATGAAAAGATGAAGGGCGATGGGGTAGCCTAGTGCTTCAAGCGTTGGCTCGAAACGTCAAAGACCTGGGTTCGATTCCCCACTTGGCGACAATGTGTGAAGCCAATTTTATGGTGTCCCCCGTGGTAGTGCTGGAATATTGCTTAAAGCGGCGTAAAACCAAACTCACTGACTTTTATCACTGAATCATGTGTGTTGTGAAGAAAACAATATGTGAAATGCTGGACTTCCTCATCATTAACATCTACATGAGATTTGGGGATAAGACATTAAAGCAAGAAGCGGGCATCCCCATGGGCACCAATTGTGCTCTTCTTCTTGCGGATCTGTTTCTGCATGCATATGAATCGGAATTTCTGTGCGGATTTGCAAAGTCAAATCAAGGTAATTTGGCTAAGAAGTTTAACTTAAGCTTCAGGTATATCGATGATTTGATATCGTTCAATAACAATCAAATACCCAATTCTCTTCCACTGATTTACCCACCTGAACTAAAAACAAAGGAGACCAGTGAGGCCGCCTCATCTGTTTCATGTGTAGATCTATGCATAAAGATTCAGAATGACAAAACAATCTCCACAGGACTGTTTGACAAGAGGGGTGACTTTTCAAAAGTCAACTTTCCCTTCATTTCGAGCAATATTCCAGCAACTTTTACATTTCACAACTTTTGAGATTCAATCGAGGATGCTCTTTCTACCAAGATTTCAAAGAGCGTCATACAACTCTTGCTCAGAAATGGTTTGATCAAGGTGACTTTGCATGTGTTTGTGACGGTTGTCACAAGTAGGGCCGGATACCTTCACCTGTTCGCGAGCACCTGGTATCATTTCTATTTGATAGTGATTCATAAACACATGCTCATGATATAGTCGGAACCGTACAATCGACTCTGCTTTATGCAGAGATTTCTATTGGATATTGGAAAGGGGTTTGTCGCTTTATTATACAGAGAAAGAGGGATGAAGCGGAAATAACGGACATGTGATCTTGCTCTTCAATGATACATGTACATTGTAGGTGTAAGTTTGTCGCCTTTAGGCAAAAGCCATGTCCTGTGAACTTTATCTGTTTTATCAGAAAACTATTTGAGCGAGTTAAGTATTTTCTTATTACTTCCACATCAGTCACACATGAATTCTTATGTTTCATTGACAAGAATTGTAAATATGAAAACGTCAAGGCCAGAAAATAACCAGTCTTGATTATCCGCCAAAACAGATTCCACTGGGTGTGAAGGGCAGAACTGTGATGAAAATCATATGAATGGATCACTGAAAGTCAGTGACGACCTCGTGTGTTTGCGAAAAGGTTAAGAGGAAATTAGTAACATAGTGATCATGATTCGAAAATGTGTATATCTAGATTACATTTGAACGTCATCTTTCACCTCATGGGTATCCCGGATTAAAGTAGGTCCCCATGTCTGTTGTACACTGCGGCGAAATGGATTTGGTGGTCCAGCTTACAGACTTGGTTCACCGTATGTTACCGTACTCCAGCGGCATTGGGCATTTATAATAATATTTGTTTGTTTGTTTGTTGTTTAACGCTATATGACAGCGGTTATAATAATAAAAATAATAATAAAGTCAAAGCCACAAATACGTATGCTGTGTCAGTTCTTTCGAGTTCTTTTGGTGTTGTTGTTTGGACGAAACAAGAAATTCAGGGTTGACACCCTCACACGAAGAATCATGTCAGACAATAGATCCCACCACCCTCGCTCTTCCCTCAATCGCTTGTATTTACCAATTATGATGGGAGGGCGTGGTTTGATAAATGTGGAGGCTGTTCATGATAGAATTGTTTTGTGCACTTTTGCACACATTTATTTGTCTGATGATCCTCTTGTGAAGCATGTCAAGACACATGAGGAAAACAAGGCATTCCACAGTTTTCTAAAACGAGCCAATGATGTAGGACATAATCTCAATGTCGGTGTTGATTTTGTTGATGTTTCTGTACTGTTGGACGGTACAGAAATGAGTGTCAACCAAGCGAAGTGCCATATCAAATCGGCCCAGACTCAGTTTTTAAAGGAGAGGATTTCTGAACGACCACTGCACCGAGTTTATGTCCAGTGTGTTGAGAAGATCAGCAAACCTGCAGAGTCCTTCGCTTGGATGAAGTCGTCTGGCCTGAAAAGTGAAACAGATGGCTTTCTGTTTGCTGCTCAGGACCATTCACTTCCAACCGTCAATGTGTGATTTTGCATCAAAATGTGAATATGAAATGTAGATTATGTAATGAATATAATGAGACTGCCCGACACATTGTGAGTGGATGTCCAGCTTTGGCACAGATACAGTATCTTAAGCGACATGATTGGGTGGCTCGATCATTTTATTACCGTCTTAGCCATGCTTGTGGTTTTGACACAGAGGTCCATCCATAGTATGACCCTGAATATGTAGAGGGCGTCATGGAAAATGATAAATACAAAATCCTTTGGAATAGGCCCGTATTCATCCTCAGACATATCCAGGCCAACAAACATGATCTTGTCCTTTTTTATAAATTCAATGAAATCATTTATATCATTGAATTTTCTGTCCCTTTTGACACTAATGTGATTTACAAGATTGAGGAAAAACATGGCAAATATGCAGACCTCGCTTTCGAAATGTCACACTTGCATCCCAAGTACCAAGTTGTCCGACTCCCCATTGTTCTCGGTGCTTTAGGTTTGGTACCTCCCAATCTGTTGACTGACACTGGGAGAGTACCCGGGTTTGCTATCAGGAATACAGTCCTTCTGACAAGCTGGGTAATGCAGAAGCCTGCAGTGTTGGGGAGTCTACACATTCTCCGAAAAGTTCTGGGTGGGTTTGACTAGGCAGCGCTTCCTGGGAGAAGTCCCATTCGCTATCTGGGCTGCGTGTAGAGGGGGCAAGGGCCCTGAGCTGATGAAGAGCCTAACTATCCTGACTGTGCCAGGATCACCCAAACCCTCTTTTCTGCATTTTTAATTTTAATCTGTAAATAATAATTATAATATGCAGAGGGCGTCATGGAAAATGATAAATACAACATTCTTTGGAAAAAGCCCATATACAGCCTCGGACCTATTCAGGCCAACAAACCTCATCTTGTCCTTGGGTTAATCCAATGAATTCATTTATATCATTGAATTTTCTGTCCCTTTTGACACTGATGTGATTGACAAGATTCAGGAAAAACATGCGAGTGTCAAACAAATAAATAAGCAATCAACAAACATTACCTTTTTGCAAAATCGTCATCCTCTCCACCCCAGCCAAAGAACCAGTTAGAAAAGCCGTTTATCCGCTTGTACAGGCTGGGTGTTAGTGCAATAATTCCCCCAACATACCAGGAATATGGAAGTCTGAAGAAATGTATACATTGTGGTGATAACAAATATAGACATCGAAAGGTCGAGACATGACTAGGATCCTTAATATACCACATATGGCAAAATTACCATCCTCTTAAAATCAGATATTAGTTCTGGCTTCCCATTACCGGTCACATCAGAACTACATTTCATCCAACGAATCAGAGCGTCGCTCACCAGATCAGAAAAGTGACAGTTTTCTAAAAATTTGAAACGGGGTATTCCATGCAACAGTTTCGGACTGTATGACTGTAAAAATCATTATCTTTCCCTCGCTTAAATGGGATAAACATTTGAACGGGAAGAACGGGCTTTCTTTAGCCCATGAGTAGCAATCTCGGCCATCATCAACATTCCAGAATTTGCTTTTGTTGAGTTCTTAAATTTTGATTCAAATTATTTTTCAAAATGTAGTCTGGAACGGAAGTCGCCAGTTTGAAACTAGTGTTGTAATTCGAGATAGATGCTTTCTGTTTGTCTAATATCGACTCATTTCATTTTTCGGTCAAAGTTCGCGAAAGGTCGTTCTTACGTGACCTATAATTGGATATATCTGATTTCAATGAGATTGGGAAAATTAGGAAAACCTTTGAAGTGTATGTTTGAAAAATGTATCTTGTGTGGTAAAGTGACTGATAAATAGCATATGTTCATAAAGTTTCTTTCAAAGTTTCAACGTATGTTATAATGACACAGATGTACACGTACATGCACAAAAGCGTAAGATTTTACAGTCTATACAGAGCTATGGTGATATTCTAACTGAATGACTACGCTATTGATATCTACAAATACCAGCTTGGGTAAAGGCTTGCACGTCCAAGGACTTTAAAGAACACATCAAGTAAATTTTCTCTAGAAACCTCGTAACTGGCATTTTTAGACACAGCATACCTCCAGATATGAAATCAATGATAACGTAAAACAGTAAAGAGACAAACGTCTACCCGTAGTCAAATGAACCATTCAAAAAGGTTCATTTTCCAAGTTTTCCTCAAATATGACATTACGAAATTTCAGCATGTCAGAAACGGTTCCGTGTTAGAGTGAAAGATGCATATGCATGTTTATTACATATATCTTTGTTGGCTATTGTCACTTAATGTGTTTTCATCTTGACAAGAAAAGTCACAGATTATTGATCTAATCGATTCTCAAGAACAATGTATGATAAGCCGCATAATGTCAGAGTCACGTTTAGCAGAAAAATACCTATATCTAAACTTCGCATTGGCAGTTGATAGATGGAAAGGGTTTTTTCGACAGCGGTAGTAGTTGTCGCTAGTCTCTGGGATGAGGTCGACATCGTGGATGACAAAGCAGGTGAAATTATCCTCCCTCAGCGAGGCCGCCACTCCCGCATTGATCATTAGACCTCGGTTGAACGTTCCCCCTGGCGCCTGAAACAAGCCAAGAACACAGATTTAACTACAGTACTGGCACAAATGTGTTTTCCAATATCCGATTTAATCTCTTCTTAAACAGTATACGCCTCTACATGTATGTAAAACAAGATGCCCATGTACCCATAGTCTAGACACGGTTCACGGACGGGTAGCTACATACGGCCATATATCTACTATATAAGCTCAACATGGTTCACTGACAGAGAGCTGCTGTGTGTGTGTGTGTGTGTGTGCGCGCGTGCGTGCGTGCGTGCGTGCGTGCGTGTGTGTGTGTGTGTGTGTGTGTGTGTGTGTGTGTGAACTCGATGGATTTTGAACAGCGTCACAAACTGGCCAAGTTTTATGAAAATAGAAAGAAAAAATAGAAACATACATCTAAATAAATTAAGAGGGGGCAATGATACTGATTTTTCCAAAATAACACATCGATATAATCTCAAAAGTCGTCGGCAATATGAACTATTTTTTTCTAAACAAAAAAGATAACATCACACTTATCCGAGAATTTGAAAGAACGTGAACATGCCTCTCAGCAGTAAAAGCGAGATTAGATGTACCTTGACCAAGAAAAGAAAACATGTTGCTGTGTAAAAGAGAGATATCAGTATTTGAAGGATAATGAGACAGGAGATCCAGCCGATCGTTAGGACAGACATATATAGCTATGCTAGCATACCCAGCACATTACGAGAACAGTCCTTAAACGTGTTACATCATTTATGTTTTCATGAATCTTTCTTCTTACCCTGCCTAATTATAGACACACCAAACATTACCCCGACCCCAATGCGATCATACAATTTACAGAATTAAGCTACTTGGATAGTCTGTTGTTGCCAGCTTTCAACAGGAACAACTAGCAGTGTACAAAAACTTCTTACATGCATCTGGCAGTTTCATGACGCCTAATGACGTAAATAATTTGAATTGAACAGGAGTGGTGTTACCCTATATAGCTTATATAGCATGTGTGGCTCTTTTGAAACAGCATTCAACATTTGCACAAGTAAACGCCGGAAAGTACATTTTCCCCTTTTCACTCTCCTTTTGTTTTGGTAGAAAATGTGCGCCGTGCATGGTTGTAAATATCATGATACACCTTGGAAATATTCATATCCTGATATATGTTCATCATTCTAAGTTGAAAGAAAATGGATGCGATAAATTCCCTTACCAACAGTCGTGAATCACAGTAATCTCTGTTCAGTGGAAATGATGACATCAGGTGTTCTCGAACAATAAAGACGTGTCGAAGCGTACGTGTTTACCTCGAGTTCACAGTTTGGATGTCTTATTGAGCAAATAATCAAACTAATCCTTTGAGTTTTTGAGAATCCAGGTGTTTTATTTCTACTTGTATCAAATACTTTCTATGAATATATAGAAAGGCCTTACTTTATTGGGTTATGGATTATGGTTAATTACTGCGACATGGATTTGGTGGTACATTTGGGACCAAGCAAAATATAAATAAAATATTAGGATAGATCCTAAAAAATTAAAATGGAAGCTCCCTAAATAATGTGTCAAGTTAGGAAATGTACATGGAAACAATCACCTGTTCTGCAACGAATATTGTAAAGTCTGCCTGTTGTTTGTTGAGGAAGGGGATGAGGTTGTTGAGGAGGATCACCAGATGTTGCTCCCGGTCTCTGTAAGGTATAATGACCGCCAGCCTCTGCTTGGACCGACACCTCTCGGGCCTGTATCTGTCCCCGGAATGGGAGGGGTATTTTGTCTTCAACTCATCTCGGGTGATGATGGTGAGATTCAGCTTTACAGGTTCATCTTAAAATAAATTGTGTCCAATCTGTGAATAGTTTTTGTTTTACACCACTCTCAATTTTTTGACACCGTTTTAGCTTAATGAGGAAGAAAAGCCCAAAATGAAGCAGGTGATATACCCAGTCCTGAAACCCACGATCGAAGTCATATTGCTGAGATACCAGGGCTTCATACACTATTTCTTTTGGTTTCTAAACATAAATTTATTCAAAATGTCTTAAATATATGTATGAATCTATAAAACTGAAGAGCCCTATGCTCAGAAGGTGGTTGCTCATGGGCCAATCTGGTGATGCCAATTGTCTTTGGCCGAACCAGCCTGACCTTTGATTTGGTAGATGGTTATAGCTTTTCGTGTCAAATTTGCTGGAGTATACCACCCCTTTATCCTCGGTCTTTCCAGCTTGGAAATCCGCTGCATTATAAGACTCCATGGCGGGTGGGGGAAAGGGGTACTGAATCTTTTTCCTTTTGACATGGCTTCCCAACACCCTGGTTCAAAACGAAGATATATAGAATCTGACAATTCACCAGACAAAATTACCCCTAACTGATCTGATTATTGGCCATGTTTTGTTATTATCAAAGCTTGTGACAAAGAACCCATAAAACTGAATCCGGTGAATGAATTGGCATCTGCGGAAAGGTTACAGTGAACTCAGGACACTGAACTCATATAAGTAAACCATGGTTTGATAATGATTGTAAACAAGCTAGAAAAAAATAGGAAGAAAGACAAGAAATATTTCCGACGACATCCAACTGTCCACGGGCGCCAACGCGAGACGTAGCTTTAAACAACATGAACGTCAATCCTAGAGGAACTATGTATCTAAAATCAATTCCCGCACACCCATGTCCAAGGTGTGGAACATGAATCAAAAGATTAAGGGTAAAGGATCAAAATCTGGAGTTCACTATCTCAAAGATGGTAATACACTTTTAACTACTAAATCTGAAATTGCCAACAAACTTGGTGACACTTTGGGTTATAATAACACAAAATGCTTGATGGCATTCGTATTACTGTAGTTTGGTAGTCGTGTCAAAGGTACGTAACCTACGATCGTCATGGGTCCCAGGTAACATGCGCAATAGCAATGTTGTCGTTCGCCGTGCTGTATGCTTGTTCAGCCGAAAAAATCCCACCTCCTCCCTCATGATCAACACCCCCTGTTGTCCATGTTCACAGTCTCAGCGCTTACAGTGTCATGCTGTGCTTTAGAAGTTTAATACGGTTTAAGTCTGGGGGCATTTGTCTTATACCCCATCATCGTTGTTTGTACAACTAATTGTCTTTACCAATCCTTTTGTACATGCTGTCAGTAGGGACAGGGATTCTCATGATGATTCATAGAAGATGGTTAAAACATATCCATAATGTTGTATATTGTCCTCAACCATTCTTCGTTGTTCATGTTTAAAAATCCAGTGTTAAATGGCAATTAAATATCCATAGGCAGTTAAATATCCATAATGTTTCTGGGGCTATTTCCCTCCATCATTCATTGCTGTATATATTTATATGTTAATGGCATGCTGCCAAATACTGTTTCTGATTCTCAAAAGCGTAGGTCATATACTCGACTGCGCCCAATGGGTGTCAGTAATGACTGATGCTCAGTCAAGCAGCTTCTCATTCCGGTGATACTCACTCACTATACATGCGGCACTATATGCGGGTAGTTGCTCCCAATGCTTGGGCAAATAATTTGTGCTGGTTAGTGTTGATGCTCAACCACAGGTTTCATTGCTATAGTTGTTGTTAGTATTAAGATGAGAATCCCCTAACGCCAAAGAAACTGGCCTTGTATGCATGTGCTATGGCATAATGTTATTCTCATAAATAGTTTCTCAGTTACCATGTGTTTGTTAAATTTATCATAAATGGCAAACCATTCCTCCTCATCAAACTATAATCCTCAATTTCAGAGGTTTCAAAACAGCAGGAAATAAACAAATTAGCTGATAATGGTCAGGTCTATAACGAAACCTTTTCACACAATGAATTACATACTGCGCTAGGGCAATCTCATGACACTGCAGCAGGATCCGACAACATCCACTATCCGCTTCTGAAACACTTGCCCGATTCATGTTTGAAAACTTTATTTAATATATTGGAAGAAATATGGACAGCTGGAAATTTCCCTCCTTCGTGGCACAATGCTATTAGTATTCCTATTCCGAAGACTGGACGGGATCATACAGATCCATCCAATTACCATCCAATATCATTCACTAGCTGTGTTTGTAAAACCATGGAGCGCACGGTCGACAATCGATTAGTCTGGTTCTTAGAAACCAATAACCTCCTGAGTGACATCAAGTGTGGTTATCGAAAAAACAGAAGAACCATTGGCCATTTGGTGCGTTTAGAATAATTTATTAAAAATTCCATTGTCAACAAACATCATACTGTATATCTTTTTCCACCAAGAGAAGGCATATGATACCGTTATCTCGACAACTAATCCCGTACAGTGATTTCAAACCAACCATCAAGAGTTATACTCGGGATCTCAAGCAAACGAGGCAAGACACACAGGCAGGTATTAATAAACTTCATGAATTAAAACTAACATTCGGCCATACCCACTTGGGTTGTCTGTCAGTCAAGACATGACGAGGTCGTTTTACGACGATGTCATATTCGCCACAGTCGGTTTACCCACGAATATATGTTGAAGACAGATGATTGGTTGGTTGGTTTGTTGTTTAACGCCGCACTCAGCAATATCCTGGAGACATATGAGGACGAACCTCCTAAGTGTATCCCTTGTGATGAAAGGTTCACCGCCAAGCATACTTTGCTTGACTGTGTGAACTTTGCAATAAATAAAAGGGATTCAAATTATGAAAGCGTAAATCTGAAAGATCTGTTTTCCCGTGTTAGCGCTCATCTCATTATCAACTACTTGAAAGAAATTGGTCCGTATAATTAAATTTAGATATGGATGTGAATAATTAAATGCTTGTTTTTAAATTTGTGATGCTATTATCAACTGACATTATTGAAGGCTCTATCCAGGAGGTTAAAGTATCTTAAAATTATTGTCCCCCTGTGTGACCCGCAATCCTATCATAATCGATGTAACTATCATCACCCAGTGTTTTAGCCAACTCATTGCCGAGTATTTTTTAATATTGGCTAGTATTGTTCAAAGCTACCAGTGGCTGAAGTGATGACGTAATGCAGGCTGGGATAACTTGCAGGAAGCCGAGGTACCGTAAGTCCCCATTATCCCCAGCGAGGTGGCCCAGCTTTGGTTACTGGGGGCCTAAAGCCCGTGTTTATAAATTGTATACATGAAATTGTTATGCTCAAATATGTATGATGAATTGTTTTTAAATATAACTTTGCATAAATGACTAAATTGTGAATATATTAACTTGGTCTCGTCGCTATATGTCTGAGTGAGTGAGATGGATTTAACGTGCATAATCCTCTGCTAGTGGATTGTAGGAGGCATAGATTGGGGCCCAGTGTCATCTGTGGGGCCGCAATTCGCTTTGCAGGGTTGCATCCCTTGGGTAAGTGAGTGAGTTGTTATTGTAGTTATTGTAGTAGTTGCATCATCATGTATGATCAAATAAGTCCATCCATTTGATTTTCATGGTTGTATGAGTGTATTTCCTATGTCATGTTTGTACATTCATCCCAATAATAAATTGTTTTTCTCCCGTATATTTGTACACAATATAGTGAGTGGGTGAGTTCGGTTTAACGCCGCTTTTAACAGTATTCCATTTATATCACGGCATGTCAGCTAATTGTGGGAGGAAAGTCCGAAGTGATGCAGGTCTCAGACGTTTACCACTTCGGTGAAACCCGCGAGCACGTGTATGGTGCTGACAAACCTAGAAACATAATCGGAGTGAACTGGGATTCGAACCCCCCATCATAAGTTTCTTGCGTGCCCAAGGGACACACCTCTGCATAGCGAATCACGGCGTCTCAGACGACTGGGCCACCCGTGCCTCCCGCTATGTGGCTGAAATAATGCTGATGCGACGTTAAATATTTACTCACTCACTCATTCAAATACAGTTGTTCCTTCGGTAATGCCACACTCTGAATTAGGATCTTTAGCATGTGAGTAGAATAACCGATTCGTTATGTTAACAATGTTACCAATGCGGTCATTAATTGCTTCCAGTGTGGCCCTGTGTTAGACTGCCATATCAATACAGCCCGGCACTTCTATCAAATTGTTTGATTCAATTTATATACCTGCCAAACAAGTAGGTGATCATGAAATATAAATGTTATGGTCCTTCTTTAGAATAATGACCAACTCAGAAAAATTACTGCCAGAGAGAACCAAAACCTAACGACCCAACACACCCGAAACATTGCACGTGTACACTGCAATTCCTCCGTGCACGTGGTTCGGTCTTCTGATCACTATGAGCCATAAGTATGGTTGATTTTCATTATCCACAGTAACGCACGTAAAATCTCTACTTTTGCTTTAACGCAGTATTTGTGATCAGGCTGGGAATGTAACATCCACAACATGATGAACGCATAAAGGACCATTGGCATGCTTCAACTGGCAGAGGGTCAGAGAGTGGTAACCGATATGCCCAATGTGTCACAATCTGTGTATTGCAGACTTTGGAACAGGTGTCTTCAGGATGCATATGAAGTCTTTTCCTTTTTCTTTTTTATTAACGAATAAGCCATGGAAATAGAAGATTAATGTCTAGGCGGTGTACAGTTACATAGAGGTTATCACGCGAGTGTGTTTGGGGATGGTAAATATCCTGCATTAGGAATAAACATTGTATTTAGCGAGCCTTGGCCCTGACTCGATCGCCGAATGACGAGGGCGACGCCATGTTTGTTTATAAACAGTGAAAGTAGTCCCTACTATGACCCTAACGGATATAGTTTTTATCCGTTGGCTTTATCCTGCCGAGAAATCTACCCAATATATGATAAATCCCGATCTTGTACTACTCTTTTTACTGTTATTTGTTGATATTGCAATGTTTAC